TATGATACAAATATATAAAGTTAATTCTTCAAGATATGACATACGATTAAGAAGAGGTACCACTAATTCATCATATAGACAAATTGTATCATAGCATATTAATGACAAATATTTCAAATTACATAGTTCATCCTGAAAAATAGAAAGATATTTTTTTTATAAATGCATCTTTATCGATTGAACTATAAAATAATTTTATAGATTTTATAGATCTTTTCAATTTTTTTCTTTAAATGTTTTTTTTTGTATCCTATTTCATGTATCTTCTATTGATCATGACTATAATAATAACTTGATATTAGTTAACTTCTTCAAATAAAAACTAGGATATAAAAATGAATTTTCTCAACATCTTAATTCCTAGTGTGTAGTTAGACAGTTCTATTTCAATTTTTCAAACTTACAAATGAACTTCAACTTCGATATTACGAAGTTAAACTTGTTTCATTGAAAACTCTTCAAAAGACAAAAGTTTTCGAATGTATATCTACCATCATTTATCAATGAGTACGAAGATTAGTATTGATTTCAAGTGCGTGAGTATTTGACCGATCCGAATTTCTAGTGACTATTCGACTGAATTGAAAGTCATGAAGGACTTTTTGGTCAAAACCTAAACTCATCTGATTGATTTAAAAGAAAAAGTTATATTTTTATAACTCGTTGCGACACTTTGAAGCACTCGATACTACAGATTTTCAAAAAAAAAATGTAGTATTTAATAGGATGGCATAGTACTGAGCAGAATGTTATAACCATAATGTGACCTAAAATTATTTTACATTGATTTGAAAGGTTGTTTTGAAAAAGATATTAAAATCTTTATCTTACAAATCAAGAAGCAATAACTCCGAATATATGTCTCTTTTAATCAAATGATTATGCTCATTCGAATAGCACAACTTTATGAAGACTAAAAGGAAATCTTAGTTACGTAAAGTGATTATTTAAAAAATTTTTACATCTTTGATTTTTTTTTCATTTAAATCAATAAGTCTCAAGTGATTAATGAAAAAATGAATAACTGTTCTTTGCCGTCATATTTCATAAGTGGATGTCCGTTTTAGCCATTGTTGA